ATTATAGTTGCTCCCCACTGGGGGAACACTGACAGTACTGAGCAGTTTTATGCACAAATATGGTATCCTATCTTGTCTTCACCACCTTCTTAAAAGAGGTACTCAAGTTACCTTATCTCTCTGAGTCTTAGTTTTCTTGTCAATAAAATATATATAAGAATGCCTAACATGTGGTTTAGATTAAACGTGATATCGTACCTGTCAAATATGAGTCACTCAGTAAATGTTAGGGTTCTTCTTTCTTACATTACAGGAAATCTTGGAGGAAACACTTCATGTCTGTTTACCTGGAATTCCTGCATAGGAATAAACCATTCATTCTATTCAAGTGACCGTAACTTATCAGCAAGTGTGGCTGTTACATTGTGCTCATATTTAATGCATCACAATATGGTTTATCTTTTGATTTCTTAGAAATTATCTCCCTGTGTTCTTCTTGATTAGTAACATGTGACCATTAGCACTCCTATTCCACTACTTGATTTCTTGTTTGTAGTTGTTACAGGTGAAATCTCCTGAGCTCATTACAAATTTCATGAGTCATTTGGCTGATACCTTCATTGATAATGTTGAATTGCACTGCATAACGAGGTATCTGTTTGGAATAAGAATGTGAATCCGATGGGGTCTGGGCCAAGAAGCAGTTTTGCGTGTCTAGACAGGGGCTGTTAGGGGGCACTAAGACATGGTGAGCCAGATTCCTTGATATCTGTTGCACCTGATGTTATTTTCACACAATGTAATTCAGTATTCAGTTTTCCTTTATTGAGTGATATCATTCCGCTTAAGTTTCTGACCCCATTTTTGTTTTTAAACACATCAACTTTTATTTAATGACTTTAGATTACATGCATTTTATATTTGATTCTGGGGTCAGCATTGTGTTGACAGAAAAGCCCTTTGCTCCTGATGTGTCTTCACCCAAGACAGAAATTACTGACATTCAAATTACACTGGTAGCATTTATGAAGTTGCTGCTGGCTTATGCTTCTTTCTATTCTCCCAAAATATTACAATACCAGTGTTTGATGTATGGATTAGAGGGAAAGGAGAACATCCCTGTTCATGATATTTCAGACTGCAAACTCATATCTGACAACTTGAGTTTGACTTTTCAAAAATTCTAATGAAGTTTTCCAACACTGTCTTTTCCCCAGCCAGATTCCCTGTAATACCAGTAAGATAAAACTCCACTACATTGTAGGATACACAATAGCAGATAGTTTGTGTGTATTTTGCTCCAGTGTGCTAAAAAATGCCTGCCACATGCTAAGCACTTGATGATTAATTGTCGAATGCACTAGATCTAAAAATAAAACACAGGCAGGGGTTCTTTAGAGTGTTTATCCCATACTCATTTATTTTTGTTCTGCTGAATTTGTTTTTACCAGAGAGAAGCATTGTAAAATGCATCTTGAGAAGAAAGAGGGCACAGGATCAGATCTTTCTGCTCTTGGCTGGAAGGGTGAACCTCCCTCTGTTGATTGAGCACAAGGGGTAGGAGTCATGGTGTCTCGTGGCTACATGGCATTCTACCGGTACCGAGAGGAACTCTGTGTACTGAGAGGAAATCCGTGAGGCTGCTTCATGTGGTGTCTCTCAAGAACTTCTTTCCCCCTTGCTGGGATGCAATCTAGTGTATGAAATTAGTGTGAATCCTAGTTGCGGGCAATCTTTTCTTTCCTTTATTTGCCTGGGATTCTCCACACATCTCTGATCTTTGGGCCTCCTTCCATCCATCCTTGCACAAATAGCTTTTTAGGAGAGAATTTCCTCTCTAAAAATTTTCTTAGACCTCCTGTTAGTTTAACATATATCGAACTAAAATTAAAAAATTATCTACATAAGATTCTGTTATATACAAAGACACAAAAGCATGGTTTATGTTTTCAAGGGATTTATGATACACAAATTTTAGTTTCACTTCTCTAAACTTACCTAAATTTTTATAAAAAAATCTCTGAAGTGAAAATTTAGTCATTTTATTTTATTCACTTGTTTATTTTTGTTTTTTTGGGCACAAATTTTCACTATGTAGCTCAGGCGGGCCTTGAACTCACTATGTACCTGGGCTGGCCTGGAGCTCACAGTGATCCTCCTGTCTCCGTTTCCAGAGTGCTGGTATTATTGGTGTGCTTCACTAAGATTGAGTATATCAAGTATAATCAGTCACTTTAAAGTAAGGCATGGAGAACAGATGAGCCTTCCACTAAACTCTTCTAAAATTCTCTCTGCCACCCAGGCTAATGTTAGAAAAAAGTGTCTTTGCAACATAGTTTCCTTATCTATGTAATGAATGCAATAATAATCCTTTTATTAAATTAGTTAGATAAATGAAATATTTGTTGAACGAATGAGAATTAACATTCATGAATGAGTGACTCATAAAAGCTTTTGTTCTGGGAAGAATACGGCATAGTATAGCGAGGGCTCATTAGTCTGAGATAGATGCAATCACTTTTATCTTTGAAAATTCAAAGTTCTCTTATTGTCAGACATGTGCTTAGAGTCAGTGATTCCCATCCTGGTATCAGGGATACTTCCAGTGAGTTGTTGGAGAGACTGGATGAACTTGTATATCCATAGCACCTGACCCAATGACTACTTGGCATTCAGTAAGTGCTCTTGTCGCCATTATTCTGAACACCTCCATTTTTCTTTGTCTATGATAAATTGTAAGATATTTCAACATAAAAATCTTTTAAATAAATGACATTATGATATTTTTAATCATAAGTCATTTTAGTACTTTCTCTTGTTGCTGAGACAAAATACCTTATACCCAAAGCTCCTAGTTTATCTTATATTCTATGAGATTTCTCCACCATCTCCTTATATTCCAGAGACTCATAAGGAGGGAGGTAGGAGAGAATAAAAGGGAGATCTCACATATGAGCTCTGTTGTTTAAGGGACCTTTTTAAATCGAGGGATATAAAAAAAATCCACCAAATTTCATTGTTTTCAATTTAGTGTGCTTTCACAAAAATGTTCCTCGGCCCCCATGGAGAAATCTGCATGTTTTTTGTACTTTATTTAATGGAGTAGTATATAAAAGTAATAGTGAACTTGGCTTTCCAAATCACAGTTAAATGTTTGAGAGGACAAAAAAATCTGAAAAAATCTGTAAGAAAATCTCTTACAAGTGAAGGCTGTTCTTCCTTCCTAATTATCTTGATTTTTTCTAGTTCTTCTGTGTAACTTATAAGGGAAAGCAAAGGGAAGGAAATTAGGTATATACTATTACCCAAGATATTGCTGAAATATGTAAAGCTAAAAATAATTGAAAATATTGAAAAAATGTAAGATGGGGCTATGAAGTATATAAAGTTTGGATAATCTTCATGTTCTGTGATTCTGAAATAAACACATGGGCACTTGTTCCCTTTGCTTGGATGGGCCTCTTTTCCAATTCCCTTTCCTGGCAAGCTGTTGGTCAGTCATTCAACACTCAGCTCAAACATTATGTTTTCACAGTCTTTTCCCATCCTTCTTGGTTCCCCTACTATGAGTATTTGCTCTTCAAAAGCGCATCTGTATTTGGGAGGCCTTGTTGGTACTGCTCTTGTCTCATTTCACTGTAGATACTTGTTAAATTGATCTAGATTTATTTCCAGATTATGCTTTTTGGAAGATAGAGTTGGTATTCCACTTCTCATAACTGTAGATTGGTGCACAGTATGTTGTCTTTCCAGAGTTGGTCCCCAAGAAATATTTGCAGAGTGAAAGAATATGTATCACCTCTTAGTCAGCTTTCCTGTTGTTAGAACAAATTACTCAACACCCGCAATTTAAAGGAGAAGTGCATTTGCTTTACAGTTTTAGAGCGGTTAGTCCATGGTTGGTTGGCTTCAAGTCTAGAATATCATGGCAGAAAGACTTGGCAGAGGAAAGCTGCTTTGTTCCTGGAAGCTAGAAAGCAGAGAGGGGAACAAAGCCAGAGAAGAAAGGGCTAGGGACAAGATACAGTATGTGAGTACATGCCTCCACGACCCATGCAGCCCTAGATGGCCCCCAGGCTAATTAAACTAACAATTAAACTTAACCATCACACCTTCTATGCCTTGATCAGGCTTTGGAATTAAATGGAAATTAGACAGTATGCATTTGAAGCTTAGGCATATAAAAGCTATAGCTTCTGAGGATAGTAATTAGTGGCCTGGTGGATGGGCTTAACCCTTCTGTTAATCTTTTTGGCAAAGTCTTTCATTCTGTGATGCTGTTCCTGAGTTCTGAGTAGTGGATATATAGTAATTCATACAAAACCAGAAGATATGTATATATTTTCCTATGATATAATATTTAATTATAAAAATATCTTTCTTAACACTGTATTTGAAATTTGGTTTTATGAGCTGTTAGCTTTGAAAAATCTGTCCTTAGGCACGTCCTGAAAAGATCCAGTTTTCTTCATAATTTCTACATACAGATTGGCATCACCCAAACTTCCTTTCCTATATCATCTTTTACTTGAGAGAGTAGGAAGCTAAAAGATCTCCCTACAGCTTGAATTGATCACAGCACACATTTTCAGACAATAAAATTGAGTCAGACTTCTTCAAAAAGGGTCTTTACTATAGACTGGGTGCCTGCGTACCACTCATACTTGTATACTGAAATTCTAAATTACAATATGCTAGTATCAATAAGTGAGCCTTTAGGAGATATTAAGAGATAATTAGATCATGGGATGGAGCTTTCAGAAATGCAATTAGTGATTTTAGAAAAAGAAATGTGTGTGCGTGTGTGTGTGTGTGTGTGTGAAAGAGAGAGAGAGAGAGAGAGAGAGAGAGAGAGAGAGAGAGAG